TTTTTTTTTTTTTGTATAGTGTATTACTATGCAGCTCGGACTCATAGTGATCCTCCTGTTTTCAGCCTCCCCAGCACTGGGATTATGGGTGTGCGCCACACGTCCAGCCATGGTGTGCTCGGTGTGCCTGGGGGCAGGGCCGGCGCAGCATGCGCTACCAGCAATCCGACCCAGGATTCTGTGCTTACCGGTGTTTAATCTGCTGAGCCATCTCCCTGGCCCACCAGCCTGGAATTTGGGGAGGACTGACTTGACTTTTGCCTGCAGACGGATGCTGAGAAGCACTCGCAGGTGGAGAGGAATTCCCTGTGGTCTGGTGATGACGTCAAGAAATCTGACGGAGGCTCCGACAGCGGCGTAAGGATGGAGCCAGGGGCCAAGTGGAGGCGGAATCCCTCAGACGTGTCAGATGAGTCAGACAAGAGTACGTCGGGCAAGAAGACCACCGTCATCTCGCAGACCGGCTCGTGGCGGCGGGGCATGACTGCACAGGTGGGCATCACCGTGCCCCGGACGAAGCCCTCTGCCCCAGCAAGCGCACTGAAGACCCCGGGAACTGGTGAGCCAAAAACAAAACTACAGCCCCACTAGTAAGCTCGTGGCATGGTTGATTTCTTCTTTGGGTTTGTGTCCTGCTAGCAAGCAGCTGCACGCGGGCTTGCACCCCTCCCGTTTTCTGAGCAGAAACACATAAGCATGTGAGCCTCAAAGGCAGCTTAAGCACTGGGCATGCAGGTTGGCTTTGCTACATGTGGTTCAGCCATAGAGTGGTGACAGTGACCACACCCAGGGCAGGCTGCTCAGTGGCATGTTGCTATATTGAGTGCCAGCTCTGACTTAGGAGTTGGTGCTACAAAGAGCAGGATGACTACCTGGAAGTGTTAGGGACAGCCCTGTGATGGACACAGGTCAGATAAAAGCCGATTTGTTTTCACCCCCGTGGGTATCGGGAAAAATTGTCTGGCATTGCTGTATGCCAGGTAAATTTAGATTTAGATTGCTTTAGATTACTTTGCAAATGAGAAAGATTACTGGTACCTCCTGCAAGGCTTACTTACCGTGACAGCAGTAGATGGGAATATCTTTATAAAGAGGTTTTTCCTAGCTTTCCCCAGGTACTGCCTCCCCAACCCTCTGGAAAATGTGAGCTTTAATCAGGGGAAGGGAGCACCTTAGCTCAGCTGGATGGGCTGGCTGCTTGATTTGTAAATAACCTGGCTGATTTCTTGCTTAGGAAAAACAGATGATGCCAAGGTGTCAGAGAAGGGAAGGCTTTCTCCCAAAGCCTCCCAGGTGAAGCGTTCCCCGTCTGACGCAGGCCGCAGCAGTGGTGACGAATCCAAAAAGCCCCTCCCCACCAGCTCCAGGACGACCCCCACTGCCAATGCCAACAGTTTTGGGTTCAAGAAACAAAGTGGCTCTGTGGCCGGGCTGGCCATGATCACAGCCAGTGGGGCCACTGTCACCAGCAGATCAGCCACACTGGGCAAGATCCCAAAGTCATCTGCGCTTGTGGGTCGGTCCGGCAGTCGGAAAACCAGCATGGATGGAACTCAGAATCAGGATGATGGGTATCTGTCTCTCAGCTCCAGGACAAACTTGCAGTACCGGAGTTTGCCAAGGCCCAGTAAGTCCAACAGCCGGAATGGCGCTGGGAATAGATCTAGCACCAGCAGTATCGATTCTAACATCAGCAGCAAGTCAGCAGGCCTGCCCATGCCCAAGCTGAGGGAGCCTTCAAAAACGGCCCTGGGCAGCTCTCTGCCAGGCCTGGTCAACCAGACAGATAAGGAGAAAGGCATCTCGTCAGACAATGAGAGTGTGGCTTCCTGTAACTCTGTGAAGGTGAACCCAGCTGCCCAGCCTGTGCTGAGCTCAGCCCAGGCCACCCTCCAGCCTGGGGCCAAGTACCCGGATGTGGCCTCCCCCACACTGCGCAGGTAAGTGGGTAAAAAGCATAGCAGAGCTGGAGTACGTGGAAGTACATCCCGGAGTAGTAATTCCCCGTTTCTTAGTGAAACCAACTTCTGATTTTCCTTTGCATCAGTGCCTGGATAATGCTGCTTTGGGAGCTCCTGCCCGCTGGATTTGGTAGTCGATGGGTCATTTTCCCATGTTGGTTTTGTTTTGCTTTTTTACTGGGAGTTGAACTCAGGACCTTGTGCTTACTGGGCAGGTGCTTGTGCCACAGAGCTATATCCCTAGCCCTATTTGTCCATGTTAGGATAAAAAACAAAGTTCTCTGGAATTAACTGTCCTGAATTCAAATCCTAAATTTGTCTTCCTCAGCTTCCATGTCACCTTTTTCTAACGATTCTGCCTCAGTTTCTTTTTCTTTTCTTTTGGTATTTAGTACAGGGTCTACAGGGTCTCATTATGTAGATCACCCTGTTCACAGCCTCCCAAGCTCTGGAATGACAGGCGCACCCCACCACGCCATCTTCTGCCTCAGTTTCTGATCTGTAAGATGAGCATGATAGTATTTTTCTGAGGGTCCTTAAAAAAATTAACCTTTACAGCCATGTCTGGCCTGTAAACACTCAATAAAAGTTAGCTACCATGAAGAATGAGTGAGGTCCTGATATACTCTCAGACCAGGAAAAGTAGCTCAAAGAAGTGGATCGCTTTTTCTGCTCTCTTGGTAAGTCTGCGGCTCAGCCACAGGGCCCCGAGTGGGCTGCGACCTCAGCCAGAGCCTTTTCAAAGTTTCCACACATGCTTTTTAGGCAGCATCTATTTCCAAATAAGTCTCTGAATTTTTAGTTTTAAAAAAGATACTTATAGCAAAACTATCTCGAAAAAGGAGAAATTGATTTCCTGTTACCTTACAAAGGCGTTATTTTCCTACATTGATGTGGGAGTAGGAATTGCTGGTGTTTAACTATTTCTTCTCAATGCTGTCTGCTCTTGTTAACTCCTTGGGCTTTGAGCTGTTCGCCCACTGCCTCTGTGTAGAAAGACCCTCTGATCTTCCCAGGACACCTCTTACTCTAAGTCCCAGGGACAGAACAGTAAGTGGTGACAACATAGAAGCCACATGCACATGCGCGCATTTGGGGATGAGACAAAATGTTTGACAGGATTTCAGAAGAAGCATTCCACATGAATGGTAGAGTGAAGCCTTTCACTCTTCTTGTCCAGACTTGATTATTAGAATTTTAGTCATGATTTTTTTTTCAGGGGAAGGTCCTACTCTTTGTTGTTTTAACATGTTGCCTTATAAATGAAAATTTTATCTGCCTTTCGCCTCAAGTACTATATATAATACTATATGTATTGATATTATAGTTTTCCCTGAAAAAAATGAAGTGGCTTTCCTGGACCCTGAGGTGAGAGCCTGGTGTTCGTGGAAGTGCACACAGCTCATTAGGGTGGGCTTCGAGTGCCTCAGTGGCAATTGTGTGTTCTCCCCGTTATCCTGAGTCATTAGGGCACTCAGGTGTTACACAGGCAGTATGGAGAAAAGAACATGAGGTAAAGTGATATAAACAACGCTCTTCAAGAGATTTGAAAGACTGACTAACAAAGACTGGGCTTATTATTTTGTGTGCAGGATAAAAAGTGGTTGTGTGAAAGTTAGAAAAAGGTGGGTCATGCTCTGACTTTCTAGCATTTAAATAATGGCACTAGATCAAGGAGCAAGGGTCCTGTCCCTGAGAGAGTATAACCGTTCTAAAGCCAGTGTTCTGCAGTGCGATATTCTGTTCTTTGGCAGTCAGCAGGTATCAGTATTTCTCCTCTGTCACCACACACTCCAGGGAGGATTGAGTGATTGATCATACATTTGCTTGTTTGCAATAATTCAGCATGTAGGACTGTTTGCCAACAACACAGGGAAATTTGCATTGTACTGAGCATCTTTGGTGAAGAGCACTATGCCTGTCATGATAGTAGCTTTGTCATTTTGGGAGGTATTTATTTCACCTTCTACTTCTGCTGGGTGGAAGAATGCCCTTGGGTTACTAGAACATGGTTCCCCTTCTGACTTTAAGACTACCTTACCATTCTCCAAGGAGCACCTTGCCCATGGAAGAGGGTCTTTGTACCACTCCCTGTCCTAAGAGTGCTTTCTGGTCATGAGGAGAGGGAAGGTGACATGATGCAGCATTTCTGTGTGTCTGTCACAGAGAAGTGGTTTGCACCCAGGCTGCCCAGTCTGATGTCTTGTGAGCCCAGCAAGCCTTTCTTGTGTGTCATTGGCTCATGCAAGCCCTGCCAAGATGTCCTGTGTCCCGTCTGTGGGGATTCCTCTCCCAGACTCCATTCAAATCTAGATTCATGTTCCCCATTCCTTGAGTTGTGTTTAGAGATCAAAGAACGCAATGCTCTTGGAATTACATGCCCCTGAACTGAGTATCTGCCTTTTGTCTGCCTGATGTTATGGGTTTGGAGATGACGTCAACAGCCCTTTAGATGTTTCCTAGGCCAGGGTCATTGCAAAGTAGTAGCTTTCTAGAAAGAAAAGGAAGCAGGAGCTTGGGCCAGTATGCACAGGTCTGCGGACAGCTAGCCTCCATCACCATTGGCTCAGAGAGAGCTGGGGTCTCAGCGGCAGCCTAGAGTGGAAGGTGGCACCAGGTCCAGGCCCACTTTCCAGGCATCCTTCCCCCGCTGAGCACCTTCAGCTGTTTGCATGGGGAAGAGCGTGGCTTGCCCTCCTTGGACAACCGGGCAGCTCTTGGCACTGGGTGTTCACCCACACAACCCATTGTGTCTTCACAGACTCTTCGGTGGGAAACCCACCAAGCAAGCGCCCATCACCACCCCTGAAAACATGAAAACGTCAGTGGTCATCTCCAACCCTCATGCCACCATGACCCAGCAAGGTAACTTGGACTCCCCGTCAGGCAGTGGCGTCCTGAGCAGTGGGAGCAGCAGCCCTCTCTACAGTAAGAACGCGGACCTCAACCCATCTCCTCTAGCCTCCAGCCCCAGCTCAGCCCACTCAGGCCCCTCCAACAGCCTCACATGGGGCACCACAGCCAGCAGCTCCTCAGCGGTCAGCAAGGACGGCCTGGGCTTCCAGTCAGTCAGCAGCCTGCACACCAGCTGCGAGTCCATTGACATCTCCCTCGGGAGTGGTGGCGGGCTGAGCCACAACTCCTCCACCGGCCTCCTTGTCTCCTCCAAGGACGACTCCCTGACACCCTTTGTGCGAACCAACAGTGTGAAGACTACGCTGTCAGAAAGGTTGGTGCTTGGCCCCTGGAAGACGCCCTGCCCGGAGGGAGTGCAAAGATGAGGCTAGGAGTCCCAGATGCTCTCAAGCCCTCACCTGCGAGGGAGATGTGCTCTGTAGTCTTTCCTGGGGACGCCAGTGTGAGGTGGCAGTTGGCTTGGCTCTGCTTCCCGTTACTGTTTCCTTATGGTGAATCTTGGTACTTGGTGCTCTCGGAAGTCTGCCAGATCTGTGCTGCCACTTGAAGTGACATTCAGCTTTTGAAATCCTTCCGTTGTGTTCTGTTTTCCCCTTGGCTCATTCTGTCCCTTCGCCTCGCAAATGCACGAAGAACCAGAGAGTGTCCTGAGAGCCCTGGATTTGTGCATGTAGCGGAGAAAGGCAGGATGCGGGGATTACTGGGAAGGCCAATGCTCTCCTTTCTTCAGTCTAATACTGCTTCTCTTGTTTTCTACCTGCCTCAACTCCTAGCCCTCTCTCTTCCCCTGCCGCTAGCCCTAAGTTCTGCAGAAGTACTCTGCCCAGGAAGCAGGACAGGTATGACACTGCAGACCAGGGGCCCTCCCAGCCTCTAGGTTCCTCTGCCTGTCTGTTGTCCAGCCAGATGTTTTGTGTGAGGCTGTTGGCCTGAGGCTTCTGCTTGTGTCTGTGGCTCTAGTGTATCCTGTGACTGCCCCTGGCCATGCCAGTGGGGCTCTGTTCTGCTGCCACACAAGCCCAGAGAGAGGGGGGTTTGGGCTGGCCCCACTGTTCTGGCTTGAAAAAGCCACCCAGTGCCCATCTCTCAATCTGGGCTGGCAGAATGTCTCACTGGCATCTCCTGTGGCCTCCCGTGGCATGTTCCTGCCTCCCTGCTTCCTGCCCTTCCCTCCCCAGCCCGGAAGCATCTACCACCCACTGTGCAGCCTGCCCCTCTGCTCCGCCTCCCCTCCCCACACAGACGGCTCCTCTCCCTTTCGAACCCCTTTCTTGCTGTGCGGCTCGTTATGTCTTGCAGACCACTGTGTTCTGTGTGCCCGTGATGACCAGGAGAAACAGTGCGTGGGGTGTGGCGATGGTACAAACCACCAAGCTTGTGTTTGCCCCCAGCCGTGGGTGGGCCTCGGAGGTGGATGCTGACCTTAAAATTTGTGGGGGAAGTCATAGGCCCGCCAAGCATAACAGGCAGATGTTTCATGCCTGGGGGAGAAAAAAAAAAAAGCTAATGGAAACACTCTTCATCCCATCAACAGCAACTGCTGTGTCAGATGAACAAACTGAGCCTCAAAACTCTTGCTTTTTGCATATCTGAATGCCTTGACTCTGTCAGCCAACAAGTAGTAACATGCCTGCCCCCAGCCCAGGGCTCAGCTCCTAGCTACACCTTCACTAGGCAGGAACAAGGAGAAATTGAGAGGGACCTGGAATTCACTTGTTAGAGATGAATTCCAAGTATGCAGACTGCTGGCCTCTTGAAATCCTCCGACAAGTCCCTTTTCCCCTTTGAAGCTGCTGCCAGGGGCATTTGGGGTGGGCTGCAACTAGAGCCACAGGGAGGCTGGCGTCCCTCTCCATGAGGAGCCCTGGAGGGGGCACAGAGCTGTGTGGCCTCAGTTTGACTTTGAACCTGTAGAGAAGGAACAGTAGTTGGGGTGAGCAGCTCAGGCCACCTGGTGACTTGGTAAAGCGTGCACTTGTGTCAGCCCAGGGCAAGCCTCAGGCTCCTTTTGTGTTCCTGGATGTGGCCGTGTTGCATGCACATTAGGTAAGAGCCCTCCGCGGTGGTGGGAGTCTGTTCCCCTTCTCCTCCCTGCTTCCCTGAAGTTCTTGTTTTTGTTTTAACTTTCCTACAGTGACCCGCACCTTGATAGGAACACTTTGCCTAAGAAAGGACTCAGGTATCTGTCTCCTTGCACCCGCGCCATCTGTTGTGGCCTTGGAGCTTGGCTGTGTGGCTCTCGTGGCTGGTGGGGGTATGGGCTGGGCTGGGGGCCCGCTTTGGCCACTGCAGGAGGACTTCTGGATGATGTTTCCCTTCTCTCGCTCGTCTCTCCATTTGTGGCTTATTTGCTTGGGCAAGGGCTGGCTGTGCTTCCTCAGGCTTGATGTGATAAAACCACCTCATGAGAAAGAAACATCCCCGGGCCAGCCTGGAGGGCGGTCTTGCTGCTGCCCCGGCTGTCATCTGACATTCACAACTTCCATCCTGTTCACCCTGCTGGCTTCCACCTGGCGGGGTGCGGCTTGCAGCATGCTGACTTGGTAGCCAGGAGGAACAGAGAGGAGAGGACTCTCCCCCAACTGAAATCTGTCTGGCACTTTGGATACCTTGGCTAAATACTCTGCTCCTTGGCCATTGGGGTCTGCCTCCTGCCATTCATAGGAGGCTGTGACTCAGGCCCAGCTTCGTGCTCATCCTGGAGAGACAGAATGCTCTAAGTCACCGCCGCTCACACTGCCAGCATCACTTTGCACCCAGAGAAGCCTCAGTTTGCTAATGCTCCCTGTGGTCTCACTGTCCTGTGCTCTCCGCTGTCATTTCTCCTGCTCTCTAAATACCCTGTTCTCTGTGGCACTGGCTTCACCCTGCACGAAGCAGTAAGTGCTCCCGTGTAAAGTGGAAGTCCAAATGGAATGTTTGTTGTTGTCCTGTGTGTCTGTGGTTAATGGCCTGCAGCTCTTAAGGCTGAGAGTGTTTTGAGCCGGAGCCTGAGGTAGGTATCAACGCTTCCTTTCAGCAGGAGCTCTAAGGAAAGGCAGCTCTGAAAACCTAAGAAGAAAAATGCAGCATTTGCCAGCAAGGGTTTCCTGAGAGGGAGTTGAACACTGTGACCTGCAAGTTGGCCAGGGCTCTTTACCGAAGAGTTTGTTTCGTAGCCAGGCATGGTGATTCACAGTCCTAGGGCTCCAGGGGCTGAGGCAGGAGGGTCAGGAGATCAAGGCAGACAGGGCTGTGTAGTGAGACCCTGGCTCAAAAATGACAGCAACCAAAAATGAAAAGAGTTTTGTGTTGTGCCTACGAGGCAGCTTGTCAGCACTATGCCAAGGTTTGCACTAATACAGGTTTGGTATTAATACCTCCCTGTTGTCCCAAAAGGCAGATAGGTTCTAAGTATTAATATTTGGGGATGCTGTTTGCATTTCTTTAGCAAAGCTATCAAAATTATACAGCTCTAGCTTTTTAAAACCTGTTCAGAATAGAGATCCGTGACACAACAGATTTCCACTCAACACACGTGTTTGGTTTTTTTTTTGTTGTTGTTTTGTTTGTGGTACCAGGGATTGAACTCAGGACCCTGCACTTGCAATGCAGGCGCTTATTCTACTGAGCTATCTCCCCAGCCCGCACTCAACAAATATGGCCAACAAAGTTGTCCATTGGTGGTTGTGATGAATGGAAGAAGCATTTGTGTTCCTCATCACTGGACCCCTGTCTGACCCAGTGTCCCAACACAGCACACCCATAAGACCCTTTTTAAGCCAAAGGAATCTGGTTTCCATAGTACAAGGGCGAGGAGTCCACTGACACTTGGGCACCTTACAAATTCTGGCTGCTGCCTGTGACACGTAAAAGAACATCCATTTGGGAATCAGAGAAACAGCCTGCAGCCTCAGCTCTGGGTACAGAACTGGGCACTGCCTTTCCCAGAGAGTTAAATGGAAGTTATGATTGTCCATATTTGCTGATTGGATCTGGGGCTTCCATGAGATGATGACCGGGCCGAGAAATTGTTACCATGTCTGTGTCCCACTACCTGAGGGGCAGGCACTGCTTGACTTCCAAAGACCCCTCACGAAAAGCCAACGCTTGGGGGTTCCTTTCCTGAACTCCTGCTTGTATCCGATTGTAGCAGCCACTATGAGGACCAGCGTCCTCCAGCGTCTGTGCTCTGCTGTGCTGTGACTCAAGGCCCTGTTCATGTTGTAGAATGCACAAGCCAGGCGTGAGCTCATTAAAACTTCTTTAAAGCTCAGTCAGCAGCTCTTTCTGCTTCCCCACTGTCAGGGTGGGGGCTTTGACATGAGTGACAGTGTCATGAATCAACACGTTACAGGTACACCCCAGCGGCAGCTCTTTTGAGATTTGCCCACCTTCCTTTAGGTCTTCCTTCCAAACCGAAGGCAGTTAAATCCCCCACCCCCAGGCAGCCAAGGAGAAAAAAAAACTAAAGTATTGAGGACCTTTTTGAGTTTCAGGGTGTGTAGCAATCTGAGATTTTTAAGATCATCTTTGGGTATGTTTCATTTTGAGGTCCGTATCCCTCGCTCCTCGGAGCTGGCTTTGTATGCATCGGTGGTAGCTCACAGCAGCCCGGTCTCTGTGTGTCCAGGTACACCCCCACCTCCCAGCTGCGCACGCAGGAAGATGCGAAAGAATGGTTAAGGTCCCACTCCGCAGGAGGCCTCCAGGACACCGCAGCCAACTCCCCCTTTTCCTCTGGCTCCAGCGTGACTTCTCCTTCTGGGACGAGATTCAACTTTTCCCAGCTTGGTGAGTGGCCACCTGAAGTTTCCTAGGGCAGAGGTCACCTTATGTTTGGAAACAAACCTGTGGTCAGACACCTCTGTCCCTATCTTTTGGTGCATCTGACCAGCTCTCAGCAGCGGTGATTGCTTCTGGGAGATCAGTAGTCCAAGAAACAGAGAAAGTGGCAGAGGCTCTGGTCCTCTAGGGATTTTCATCCTACGGTGGGTATAGGCAAGGTCACAACCAGCACTGAAACCCTGTTGTCTTGAAGAGGATGCATTCTATTTCCCAGACCTCAGAAGCAGACTTCACAGCATATTCCATGCTTTATTAAGCATCCTCCTGGCTTTATTAAGCTGGAAGTAAGAGTTAAGTTTGGGCTGAGCGAGTGTTCTTGGAAATGCCTGTCATTAACATAACGCTTTGACTGGCCCAGTTGAAAAGGAAAACAATGTGAAAGACAGTCCTTACCTACTCCAGTGGATCCATGTTGAAGAGGACAAAACAGAACCACAGAGACCCATAAAGTGGGTAAAACAGGACGATCCGCAGCTTCATAGAAAACAGTGTGATAACGGAATAAGCCAGATGTTAGCGATGAGGAAGACGCTGGCAGCAGTGTTGGCAGAGGTGCCTGGAAGGATTCTTCCAGCCTCGCTGTAGCCTTTTCTTGATACCAGGAGCACTAAATTCGAAGCGTCTGAGGGCAGTTGGGGCTGAGAATCAAGTGAGGCTGAGCTCTTCCTTTTTGATGAGTAAAGCGGGTACTTCCAGCAATTAGTGTGTCACCAACGTGGCGTGCAGTGGGTGAGCCGCTCTCGGCGGCAGTGCTTGCGCCCCTCTGTAACCCCTTTGTGTGGAAGCTCTTTGCATGCTGTTGTTGAAGCTTCCTGGCTGAGAAACCTGTGCATGCCTCACTCCTCCCCAGCCGTAGCTCTCTGCAGGGAGAGATTCCTGTCACGCACAAATGCTTCCCATCTGATCAAAAGCCTCGTCGGACTATTTTGGGCTTTTGGCTTCAGAGAGAGTTGTTCCAGATGAGCCCAGTGAGTAATTAGCTCATGCCTGGAAGGTGACACTGGCTTGTCTGGACGTGCCAAGCTGGAACGCTGAGGCCCGGAGCCTGGCTTGGGAGCTGACCCGCCTTCCCGCCCGTATTTTTAGCTCTAAGTGTGTAACTCAAATGCTGATGCGACTACCTTTTGGCGAATAGACAAGGGAGAGGAGTTGGCAGGAATGCGTACGGCTGGCGATAGGCAGTCTCTCCTTTGTCCCCATCTGAGATGTGAGCAGAGGCATGCATTCGCACCGTTTGACTCTGTTCCTTTCATTCCAGCGAGTCCCACCACGGTCACCCAGATGAGCTTGTCCAACCCAACCATGCTGCGGACGCACAGCCTTTCCAATGCGGATGGGCAGTACGACCCGTATACTGACAGCCGCTTCCGGAACAGCTCCATGTCCCTGGATGAGAAGAGCAGAACCATGAGCCGTTCGGGCTCCTTCCGGGATGGCTTTGAAGAAGGTAAGGAAAGAGGCTTGCTGTCTCCCAGGTTACATGGCTGGCGGGACTCTAATTGCACTATCCAGGCTGACCTGAGACCCTACTTGTGAGGGTCTCCCTGTCCTCCGCCTCTGGTCTTTAGCTGACCTATCAGGACATGGGTTACTACTTCTTGATGAGGTTTGACTGCTGGCCCCAAATACTTGGCAGAGAGCACTTTTGGAGAGTCTCTTCCCCAGGCTGCATAGCTATGCTGCTTGCTCCGGGATCTTCTCTTTTGTTAAATATCTGTGGGTTTTTTTCCTCATTTTTTTGAGGCAATATCTTGCTGTGTAGCCCAGGCTGCTCTTGATCTTCTAGCAGCCCTCCTGCCTCAGCCTCCCATGTGCTGGGGTGATAGGTGTGCGCCACCACACTCAAAGTACACTCCCTCACTTTTGCCTTTTTCTTTCTTTGGCTGTCAAGAGGGAACATTCTGGGTTGGATTTTGAGGTTTTATCATAGTAGGAAAAAAGTTCTGTGGGCCACTTTGTCAGCCACCCATATGGCTTGCTCCTCCTTCGGAGGTGTATGTAGAACAAGCAGCCAGAATGCTGTAGGGAGCCGTCACTGCCCCAACCCAGAGAGGACCAGGCTCATAGGACATTGAAAGCCCTGGCCAGGGGTTAAGAATATGGAGTCAGCTGAGCAGCGTGAATTCCGGCTCCATGACGGCGGAGGAATACGATCTTAGACAAGTGGCTTCACCTCTCCTAGTCTCTGTTCTTTTATTCCTTTTCACTGATAAAACGTGAATAATAATAGTATTCAGCTTGCGGAATTATAAGAATTAGATGAGATAATACACATAACTGTTAACACAGTGCCAGGCTACATGCTGTCGCTTGTAGACAGCTTCAGGGTGGACCTCCTGGCAGCTGGGAGGCTCCAGCCAGAGGATATGGGGTGGGAGGAAGGCTGCGGCCGGATGTGTTGTTGTGTCTTGTAGCCAGTGACAGAGAGAATGTAGGTGTGACCTCCCTCTGCACCCCATCCCTATGCAAGTGGGGAAATATGCCCAGCATCCTCCCAGTGGAACAATAGACTCCTCTGTGGTTGTTCAGGAGTGCCAAGTCAAAGGAGAGAAATCCCAAGACCCAGGCTTCTGCTCTTGCCTGGTGTCCTTTACTTCTTGTTGTTAAAGAAAAGTCTTAAGGAGTCTCAGTACAGAGCCGTTGCTCCCTGGTTAATCTCAGTTAATCTTGTTGGCAATGTAGTGCTCTCCCTTCTGATTTATGCATCATTTGCATCCAGTGACATCAGAGGGCAGACTCACGTCTGCAAGTCCATATATGGGACACTGCGGGGACAGCGGACTGGGAGGGGAGGAGCCTGAGCCACCGAGGGAGGTTTGCTAGATTAAGAGCTGAAAATTAAAGCTCTAACCCCGTGGAACAGTAAGAGCAGAGGACACGTGGATTCTGAAGCTAGGGAGGAGGCAGTTTGTCTCCACCTTTTTTCATTCTGTGTGCTAGCCATAGCCACACGGTGTCCCCAGCTTCCCTTGTGACCAGTTGTATATGGAGTTTGTCCTGGGTCATGTTCCTCTTCTGAGTGTGGAAACTCGTCCAAACACGCACATTCTGCGCATAAAGCTCCAGGACCCGTGCGGCGCTAGCAGATAACCTTATTGATTCGACCTGGAATCAAGCTGTCAGGTAGCTCAACTGGGACATCTGGGATGTCACAACGATGCCCATATAAGGCCCTTGCTAGATTTCCATAAACCTAATACTTCATAATAACACAGAACTGAAGCACAGAAGTGTGAAAAAAAAATTAAATTAAAAAAAAGTTAAAGCTTAGGGGCAGAGGTGAGGACTCTGGTCAGTGTACCGTGAGCACATAGCGTTTTCATCTTCTGGGAAATTCGGTATCACGTTGAGCTTTAGCTCTTCCAAGGCTGTTCTATTATAAAGCCAAACAGAGCTTGTGTAATTAGGGCTTTAAATTCCTCTGAGTGAAGACATGTTTTTCCCTTTTGAATTGACAAACTCATAGCATTGCAAGAACAGTTGAAGAAAAGTTCGAATCTCGCATTTGGACCAAACAGAACACTTGCCTGGCAAGTGCAAGGGCCTGAGTTCAATCTCTGGTTCCTCCTGGGGGAAAAAAAAAAAAAAAAAGAACCTCTTTACATCAGTCAGTTGGGTGTATTGTATGCTGTAAAGCACGGTTTGTGGAAGGGGGCAATTAGCACTTCCCATTCTGAAGGAAGTGGAAACCATAAATATGTAGATTAGGTACAAGGCCAGCTCAGATACAGACAGCAGTGTTATTTCAGGCCTGCTGATTTCCATAGAATACATCGTGCAATCTTAAAGTCCACTTTAGTAGCTTACATTTTGAAAGATGCTTGAGGTGTTTGTAAGCTTTTTTCTTCGGAGAAAAATATCCTGTAGCTACGGATCATCACAAAGTGCCGGGGCGGGCGAGGTGCAACACGGGACCCCCACCTGGCTGTTTCCATGGAACCCAGAGGTGCAGACCCGCTTAGTGGTAAGGAAAGCCGGCTGACAGTGCCCTTGTGTCCCGAGCCCATGTCCCGGCTGCCTCAAATCCTGACTTGTCACAGCATCAGAACTTGGGGCAGGGGACTTGGTTCCATTTTCGATTCTTTAGGAAGTAGAATATAATTATAGCAGCTTCAGGGGATCCAGGTGTAGGTCAGGTGAGCTAAATCCTAGAAAGCATTTTGCAAATAACTTTCAAAGGGGCTTGTTGTAAGTGCTCCCTGGTAGCTGTTATTGTAATTGTCATTTAATATCTTTCTTCCCAAGGCCTGTTATCATCCCACTGTTTTTTTAATGACAAACTTGAGGCATAAGTGACTTTAGGGCACAGTGAGGTCCTAAGCCTCCAGATTCCCAAACCTATGCCCAGTCCTTTGCCCAGCTACAGAATCCTAACTTCGCATTCAGTCCGGCTGGGCTGTTATATTAGCTGGGGGCATAGTGGCGCATGCCCGTGATCCCAACTCCTTGGGAGGCTGAGGTAGGAGGATCACAAGTTTGAGGCCAGCCTGGACAACTTAGGCAGATTCTGTCTCAAAATAAATAAAAAGAGGGTGAGGCTAGGCATGTAGCTCTGTGGAAGAACAGCCCTGGGTTCCATCTGCAGTAGCTTGAACATTTCTTTAGCTTTTTGCAGGCAGGCAAATTCTTGTGTTGCCGGTGCAACCTCTTCTTCATTATACTTCCTCTGTGGGGCAGAGGTTGTGCTGTCCGTAGCCACCATCCCAGCTGTGGAACAGGAACGAAGGAGAGGGGCCCGGGGGACGTCCCAGTCTGTCTCTTCCCTATGGTCCCTGTGTGCTAGCTCACATCACTGGGCCGCTCTAGACTTTAATTCACTCATTTTTGTCAGTTAAGGGTGGAAACTGGGTTTTCGGATTTTTTTTTTTTTTTTTTACCTGCAAATACTGTTTGATGAGGAGGATTGCTGCAGTTGCTGGTATTACAAGACCGTGCTTTAGTCAGTGCAAAACTGCATATGCAAGTTGTGGGATGCCCAGTTATGACATCAGGGGCACTGGATCGCTTTTCGCCTGGTTATCTCTAGCCAGCGGTTCCACACCTACCCAAGCACCTTACTTCCCAATATCAGTCCTGACTTGTCCCTGACAGATGACGTGAAATGATTAGGAAACCATTCAGAAACACACCCAGAGGCAAAAAAATAAAAAAATAAATAAAAATCCAGGAACCAGTAAAGGACAAGGACAGAAGGGTCTCCAGACTTCTGGTCTGCATAGCTTGTTCTTGAATTGCTGTGTGACCGGAGCAAGTCCTTTATGTCTCTGAGATCCCTCAGTGGTGGACGTGGCGTAGATAGGCTCGTGGTTCCTGGTAGCTGTAAAATTTTGGAGGTGCAGGTATAGGGAGGAAACCTGCAGAACACACTTGAGCAAGCTCTTGAGGTTCTATAGCTTGGAAATATTTTGTTGGTGAGAAGTGTCTGTCCTAGACGCCAGGCTTGGGCTGGGCTCGGTTGCCTGTGGGAGGGCCAGGCATTGGCTCCGAAGCTACATTCAGCTTGAGGTTGACGCTGGGCACTGAGGAGTCTGCTCCTTTGGACCACAGCCTTGCTGTTGCTGTTTTCCAAGTGAGAAGAATTAATGACCAAGAAAAATAATGACCTCCACCTTCACCGTGCCAGAAGGGCTGCTCTCTGCCTGTGGCCCCAGCTTGCAATGAGTTGCAGCTGAAACGAGCTTACATGTGTGAGATGTGAAAAGGAGGAGAAAACAGCTCTGTTTCCCAGCAACCACAGGTCCTGTGCTGGTGTCTGGAACTGGCCTCCAGCGGGGCTGGCATGCACACGTGATTGACAAGGCACTGTTACTCCTGACTCAGCCTTCAGTGTTACCCCCAGCTCAGCTCTCTCCATCCCCATCTAATCCTGAGCTCAAGTAACTTCCTGCTTTGCAACAGTAGGCCACCAACGTGGGGCCTTAGAGGCCTTTATTTTTTGCATGCAGTGTATTGTCATAGAAAGCTATTATTGGCCACTAATGCCTGCAGCTGATTTTTATGGCATGGAAGTCAGATTAGTCCTGGATGAAGGAAAAGATCTTGAACTCAAGCCCTTGCTAAGGACGGATGTTGTGATCGATACGGTGGCGGCTTGGAGACTGCACCTGTTAGTCAAGAAGAGAACCAAGGAGAACCAAGAGCCAGTGGAGAGGGGATGGAGGGAGTCCATCCGGGGGCGTATCCAGGGGAAACAAGCAAAGGCCGGCTTCATGAAGGAGGCCTTGCTGGAGACTTTGCTGACTGGGATCCTGGGCGGTACTTAGATGCATCCTAAACAGAGAGAAATGCATGGGCAGAGACTGAGAGGTGGGAAGGAGGATGCGGCCGTGCTCAGGAGAGAAGTGTGGGAGTCCCAGAGTGACAGGAGTCTCGGAGAGGCTGATGGAGAGACCTCGGGCAGCACTGACAGCTAGGCAGAGCAGCTCATCGGTGTGCTGTTGGCTGGTGTCCTCTGCCCACTCTGGAGCTGCACTGGGAGTGCCACATGATGCCTGTGGAAAGCCCCTTGCCAGCTCCCACTGCAGGCTGCACAGTGCAGTGTGGGGTCCAGGCATTCAAGCCGTGCAGAGCCTTAACGCAGGGGTAGTTCTGTCTTTCAAGGAGGTGCCCAGAACATGGAACCCAGTTCCCAAAAGCACAAGACAGCCAGAGTATCCCATCTGAGGAAAGACCAGGCTTTAAACCTAACACCAATGGCAGTGTCTACACTGATCAGAGACAGGAAGGGGTGGGGGTGCTCAGCAATCCCAAGTGTGGTGTGAGCCAACTGGTACCAACCTGAGTTAGGAAGTGGGGCACTTCTCGGCTGTCACTCTGCGGATACGAGAGAAATCAAATGAAAGATCTTTATTTCAGGGGAGAGGTTTTTAAAACTAATATTCTGCTACATTGTCTAAAGATGAATTTACTGTTGGCCAACAGCCTGTTGGGTTTAAAATGATCAGCTCATCTTTTTTTGTGTCTACAAGCAACTGATGCTATCAGGATATGAAATATGTATGCAGCACAGTCTCAGAAAGAATTACATTAGAGGGAAGAGTGGAATAAAATATGCTGGCATGCTAGGAGGTTGCCTCTGGTTATTGGGATTATAAGTCACTACAGCTTATAGCAATAAATATGTTTTTTAATGCTGCTTTGTGCTTGAAAGATTTTGTTTCAGAGTCATATATTATTTTGATAGTTGAGAAATAAAAGTGTATTTAGACGATTATAGGGGGATGGGGAAGGAAAAGAAAGGGAGTTCTTTTGGAAATTGTCTCTTATTTGACACTGATCTGCCCCATCTGAGAAAGTGGGGTCAGGGCGAGCTGCCCATCCCTGGCTGGGCCGTGTCACTAATGCTCCTTTGCTCCTGCCTGTCCCTTTTTTGGCTCCTAGAAGCCAGCTCACCTCTCTGTTTTCCTTTAATAGTTCACGGATCATCACTGTCCTTGGTCTCCAGCACGTCGTCCATTTATTCTACAGTGAGTATAAATCAATGCTGGGTGGCTGTGATCAATCTTTTGTCATATATAGAGCAAAATCACTGTGTAAAACCACGTGTAAAAGAGAACATACGAGTTTTCCAGAGAGAACTTCCACCATGAGGGAACGCACTAACAAGGGAACAAGAGTTGAAATTCTCAAGCACATGTTGGTCATAATGCACGGATGGGTCAGGAGCAGGCTGCTGTTTTTAAAGTGGTGGGTTTTTCCATGGAAATGGGCTGCAAGGTGCGACAGGCTCGGGCCACCTGCTGGTCCACTCTAGGGGAAGGCCTGGACAGTTTTGTTTACTTTCCGTCTGCCTCAATTTCTTTACAGTAAAGAATGCAGAGCAGTCCCCTCTTATGGAGTCGTAGCGAGGAGTAAATGTTCTGAAGGTTACTTTTCATTACAGTATAAACTCCTAGAGGAAAAGGACTGTTGTTTTGACCCTAGTCATAGCTGGTCAAAAAGTAGGCTTGAGAGAAATTTTAAAATGCATCTAAGTGATAAACATAGCACCACTCGGGGTGAGCAGTCCCTGCCGGCCGTCACCGGCTGCACATCTGTTGCTCAGAAGCTGAATATAATTAATGTTATATTCGTTTAGGAATTCTTATTAATTTGGGATAATTGATTCACATTAATTAATTTATATTCATTTGGGAATTCGTACAGAAAAAGTTACTTTAATTCTTTAACCCTCAATTCCATGGAAACAAATCTTTTAATAATTCAGGTTTTGCCAGCCAGATAGCTCAGCGGACTAAAGCACCTGCTTAGGCCGATGCAGCGGCCAGGGTTCGATCCCCGTGTGCCCCGCCGGCCCCGCCCAAGGGGCATGCTGAGAGGTGACTGAGCCTGGGTGGTGGCACATGCCTATAATCCCAGCACTTGGGAGACTGAAAACAGGAGGATCACCATGAGTCCAATCTACGTAGTGGGACCCTGTACCAAATACATTAAAAATACATATATGTAAATAATTCAGATTTTGCCAACACTAAGATTATGGACTTTGTAGCAGTACAGGTTGTGTGTTGCCCCTTTAAAATAAAAGACTATGCCAGAGTTAAGTTAAAGAGGCTGGCGGCGGCTGCTGTTTTGTAGGCCTTTTGTGAGCAGACTGCAATGATTGCTGACGTAGTCCGATTTGAAGAAACTGGAAACTCTCACTCTGTTCCTATCCACCACATTTCTCCAGCTCCAAAATTCCTCTCTTCAACTGGTCACCCTGCCTGACGTCATTTCATCACTGGGTCTTAACGAGGCCACTCTCTACTGGGGAGGCATGAGGATGGTCCTCCAGCTGTCAGCTAGAGGATAAATTAAGTTCTTTCCTTTGGAATGGCACTCTGACACTTGGCCGCCCCAGATGGTACTTTCAGGCCTACACTGGCTTCTTCCCCAGTACTTGTTGGCACAGTGTGCCCCAGGCGCTGGACCAAGCCCTCAGGGTATGGGTTAGGGAGGAAGCCGCCTAGTGCCGAAAGAGAAAGCCAGAGGCGCCAGAGGGCACCTAGGGACGCAGGAGTCTAGTTTCTCAGGGTTGCTACAGAGCAGCCGTGCTGCCCCGTGTTTCCCCAGCAGAACCCCCAGGGCTCCCATCACGAGCAGGGGATGAAATGTGGGGGGCTGGATACATGCGGCAGGGCAGCAAGGGCGCCGTTGTCCTCCTCTGGGTATTCAGCCCATCGATGCCCTTCATGTCAACGCTTGGAACCTCTAGCCGTAGATGCCCTGTCTTCGGGGAGTTCCTGTTTTGAAGATGGTGTTTTTGTGAACTTTGAAATTGTCCTGAGTTAATGTGTCAAAAACCAATTATAACATTTAAAAATATCTTTTTTTAAATCTATTTATTTATTTGGTACAGCGTCTCACTATGCAGCTCAGACTCGTAATGATCCCCTTGTCTCAGCCTCCCCAGCGCTGGGACTACAGGCATGTACCACCACACCTGGTGGCTGGCTTGGCACACCCAGGGTGGGTTGGCATGGCATGCAGTGCCAGGGATCGAACCCAGGTCCTTGCGCTTGCCAGGCAGGTGCTTAGACCACCAAGCTCTCTCCCGAGCCCTATAACATTGTTTAATTTCAACTTTATTGACAATAAGAGGAGCCCACAGTGTAATCTTAGTTTATTGTCACCTTGACTTTGGACCACTCAGTCATCTGGGAGACAAAATGAGCGTCTGTTTTGTCCTCAGTGTCAGGAGTGAGCAGGTGATCTTGTCTGCTCCCTGGCACCTCTTCGCCCTTCCATGAGTCCAGCACCAAGAGTGCCCATTTCCTGTCATGGGTGGCTCCTCTGAGAATCCACGTTGCTGTTTTTAGACCAAAACAAAAGGCCTAACATTTGACTATTTCCACACCAGAGTAGTTCACAAATCCAAGGAAAACTTCGAGTCTGGCTACAGTCTGCTACCCCTAACAGTGATGCGTGGGCCCTCAGGTATTGTTAGCGTCTTGGAAACTTGAAATGCAGGAACAGTGCTCGGGCTTTTGTGTGAATGTTACACTGAGCTAGTTCTTATCTGTTGTCTAAGAAGAGGTCCCAGGAGTTCACCACAGACTCAGACCAAGAGGTCTAGGATGAAAGTCTTAATAGCTGGGAGTCTTTCAGGCTCTAATTACAGAACAGCAGGGTCTTTCCTTAAAATCTATATAATTCTTAGATATTTAAATGAACATGTTCATTCTGCCTGAAAGTTGCCTGCAATTTTAATTAAAAATGCAAGAAAAGGCACCCTGATGGCTACATGAATGCCGTGGAGTAGTCGTGGCTGCCCTGGGAGGGGAGGGCCTCCAGGAGGCACGTCTGGCCCGAAACCTGATTGGGAGGGAGGAGTGGTAGAGTTCCCAGGGGAACGGCTCACAAGATGGGGCCCAAAGCCCCGCAGAGTGTTCCCTGGTGTTGAGAAGAGCGGTGGTGGCGTGGGGCAGAGAGCACGTGAGTTCTGCCAGCTGCTGTTTGGAATGGAGACCCGTGCATGCCCCCAGACAGGTGGGCACAGTGACAGGCAGTGGCCAGGGCTGAAGCTGGGCATGGTACTGTCATAGTTATTTTTCTCAGTGCTGAAATGAATAGCCAGCACCCACATGCTAAGAGAGGAAAGGTGTGTTTAACTCAAAGTTTGTAGAGGTCTGGGCTCGTGATGGGTGGGCTGCAAGGCAGGGTGGCACGGCAGACAGGCGTTGCGAGAAGAAGAGGTCTGTGGCAGGCAGAAGGTAGAAAAGCAACCATGGCTCTTTATTTTTTGTATCTTATCCTGGCTATTTAGGGCAGGCAGTATTCACACCCTTAATCGTAGTGTCCCTAATCTTCTGCCTTTAATCAGTCTCAGCATCACACACTCTAAATCCAGCCACCTCTAAAAAAGCCCCACCTATGGCTGCATGAGACACTGTGGGGACATCTAGACATCTAGACACAAATACTAACAGTGGCACATGCCTGTAGTCCTAGCACTCTGGGAGCCTGAGGTAGGTGGTTTGCAAGTTTAAGCCTAACCTGGTCAACTTGTTGACTTAACAAGACCATGTCTCAGGATAGAAAAGGATAGAGATTTAGTTCATTGTGAAGGCCCTGAGCTCCATCCCTAGTACCACGCACAAAAGAAGTGGATCTAATGAATCATACTCCTTTGTATTCAGAACTAATAGGAGTAGACACTAGAGTCAGATGTTGATTTCTAAAAGTTATGGGTTTATTACTAATAAAATTAGACCAGATTGCTCCAAAGACTCAGGGGCACAATAGGGTCCTTACTGACGTTGATTCCCCTCCTTGGTTTCCAAGTCTTTCTTCCCACCCCTGGGGAAAGTGGAGTGTTGGGGGAAGGGCAGGGACACTTCTAATATTGCCAAGAAAGGAGTGGGTTCTTCTTTATGGGTCCCCAGGAGAACTGGGGAACAAGGAAGAAAGGTTCCTCCTACAGCAGGTTCCTCTAGCCCATGTGGGCTCCTCTATGGGACAAGGGAGACTTGAAAATCTTACCTATGTCACCATTTACCCAGAACCAGCACGGAAGGCTGTGCAGTAAGAATAGTCATAAGAGTTCACTTATAATTCGTAGGAGATCATTGGTAAATGGGTAATTTGCGGCAGCCAGCAGGAAAATAAAGGTCCCATTTATCCTCGAAAACTGGCTGAACAGGGATTCCCAGCCCCCGCCCTTTGAGGCCTGTCTGCTCAGCTCCTGCTGCAGTGGCCTAGAGGTGAGACAGAGGCACAAAATGGAGCAGGATCGACAAAGCAGCCTTCTTCTTGTCCCCTAGAAGATGGGATTGTCAGATAAATGAGAGGGTACCCTCTGAAATGTGAAGTTCAGATCAAAACCAGTGATGTTTTCCTGTCAATATGCCCCTAATATTGCGTAGGACACGCTTAGGCTCTTAACAGCTATTTAACTTTAGCATCCTGCATGTTTATTTGCTGACTCTGGCTCGTGTCCTTTCCATTATTTACCTTCTCCTGAGCACCTGACCTTATTCCCGTCTCTATGGGAAGGCAGCGTAGCTATCCACAGCCAAGCAGTTGGAACATTGTTCTAATTTTTCCTAATTCCTTAAAATAATAGTCTGGTTGTATTTGACCTTTCCATTGCGCCAGGTTTCCTGAACCAGTTTACCCACAGACATACACCAGAAGAGAAACTAGATTTCTAAACATCCAAATTTGATATTCCCCCATAGACTGGACTGCACTGCTCTTTGCTCCTAACCTTGTCTGATTTTCTTTATGATTTATTTACAGCCAGAAGAAAAGTGCCAGTCGGAGGTAAGCAGCGGTTTGCTGGTTGGAGCTCCTTTTCTATTGCCTGATACCTCGCTGGGCACAACCTGGGAGTAGAGTCCCACAGCAGATAACCCTGTGCCTTGTCATCTTTAGATCCGCAAGTTGCGACGGGAACTGGATGCTTCCCAGGAGAAGGTCTCGGCACTGACCACGCAGCTGACAGCAAACGTAAGCTCAGACGCCGCCACCCCTGCTTCTGGCCCCGCCTCGGGCCCCCAACCCAGAACAGGGCCGGGAGCGCTTGTCCGCCTGACCTTCCTTAACGCCTGTGCTCACCCTCACCTCGTCCAGTCTGTGCTCGCCAAAACACTGGTTTCCTTTGCCTTCTCCTTTGTGAACATTTTGATCTTAAGGGCAAACTAAAAACAAAACAAAAAAAAAGAAGGAGGAAAAACGAAATTAGGGTTCCAGAACAAATAGCCAAGCTGCTTTGTAATTATAATACGCATGATTACGTGTTCATGCAACATTGCCAACCTGCATTCAGCTCACCAAGGGCTTTGAGTGCCAGCTGTGCCCCGGGCGCTGTGAGTTCAGCAGGCAGCCCGAGCCGTCGCTGTTATCTCAGCATTCTGCCTCTGAGACAACTGGAAGACAAAACAAATAATTTTCCTATAACATGGTTATGGCAGAGATAAGGAGAGGAGGCTGCAAAAACATGGGGAGGAACACCTGTCTTGGCCTTTGCAGAGGAGGGCCAGGCAGGACTTCCCAGAGAGGTGATGCCTGATGGGTGTCTCCTAGGGTGCAGGGGTGGGTGGAGACGCATTTCAGCCTCAGAGAAAGACCTGTGTGCAAATGCCAAGGTGAAAGCTCACCCAGCATTCCAGACCGTAATTAGGATGTGAGGCATGAAGGTGGGAGAGAAGGACAAACAGCAGAGCACAGAGCCCTGCCTAGTGTGAGTGCAGGCAGCAGCGAGATCAGCAGACACAGTGGAGGCAGGCCCGCCCCATCCCATGGCCAGAGGAGGGGCTCTGCTGCAGGGCCAGGACCTAGTGCTCAGAAAGGCAGAGCCCGAGGTCGTAAAAGTCGCCCAGAGGCCCGTGAGTCAGGGCTTCTTGCCGGTGAGTTCATAGCCCCGCCTGAGACCTGGGACAGATGTGCCGGAGCCAGTTGGGAGGCACCCTGTGGGAGCCTGCAGCACTGTTAAAGTGGAAAGTGACTTCAAAACTTTGTCTTGCTGTGACCAGGACCCTGAGCCAGTGCTCCAGGGCAATCATTGAGTTGGAGTCTGGCCTGGGGATTCCCAGCTTGAGCTTGAATCTGCTCAAGGAAACCACGTCCCAGCCTAGGTTCTCCCAGCCTAGGTTCTCCGGCATTTCTGGAAGCCTTTCATTGTTCGCCCCCTCCAACCCTAACATATTAAATGACTGTGTCGTGTGATCTTGTATTTCTTTAATGCTTCTGCCACCACTAATGCTGCTATCAGCAGGACATCCAAAATGGAAGTGAGAACTGAATTCTGAGGCTTTGATCTTATTTAAAAAATAGCAGAAGTAGGCCAGCCAAATAGCTCAGCAGATTAAAGTGCCTGCTTAGGCAGATGCAGGGACCAGGAGTTCGATCCCAGGGCCTGCCATGCTGGTCCGCTCGCCCCAAGGATGTGCAGAGATGTTGATTGAGAGCGGACATGGTGGGGCACACCTTTAATCCCAGCTTTTGGGAGGCTGTAAACAGGAGGATCACTATGAGTCTGATCTATGCAGTGAGACCCTGTAGACCCTGTCCTAAAAAATAAAAAATAAAAAAAATAAAATAAAATAAAAAAGACGTGGTCTAGGGGGTAGGTTGATCATCTGGATAACCAAATAGGTGCATTTGAACCCAGAACCAACAACAGACCCAACAGCTAGGGTCTCCTGGGTGTGACCCGAACATGCAAGGTTTGACAGTCGCCTCCCCCTGGGGGTTCTGAGAGGCTGCTAGTTAAGAGCTGTTGCAGCCCTTGCTGATCAACAAGTAGTAATCAGCTTGTTCCTCAGTGCGCTAGGGCTAGCTCCACCCCCACCGCCACCCCCCAGTCCTACTGGGCCCTGCTGAGCTCTACTCTCTGCTCCAGAGGAACCACAGTGAGATCTCGTGTCCTTGTCCCAAACAGCGTTCCTCCTCCTAGAAGCCACTGAATCTGGTATTGTTTTAAAGTAAATATTTAGTCTTGCCGCACACCATCAGCAGCACTAACATGGCTTATTGTCTGCCGTCTTTCTCACAGAGCAGGCTGTGTTTGTTTTTCTAAGACAAACTACTCACAACCACCTTCCCTGGTGTTTCCACACCACTTGTGTTTGTTTTCCCTGGGAATGTGAGAGTGCTTTTGATGAGAAGGCTGTTGTGTGGCTCCCACCGCGTGCGGCTTGCCTCTCCTCTCGTGTTTTCATAATCACCCTCTGGACACAGAGGCAGCGCTCGCTGGCCAGCAGGATGCGGTCCTCTGGCTCTAGGACTGGAGTGTGGCTTTCTGCAGTCTGCAGAAGCACCTTCTTAGGGACAGTCTTCCTCGGGTCAGGTTTTTGGTTTTGTTTTTAACCGAAGAGAAGGTATGAGAAGCACAACAGAATTGTGGGTGGCAGCCAAATGCAGAGATGAAATCTGTAGAAATCCACTCGTTTGCACCAAACCTCTTCTCTGTAAGGGCGCATGATGATATTTAGACAAACGTGTCCTGATCCCTGTCCTTAGTGCACTGTGGACTGTCTGGAACTGCGTGGCTTTAGTTTTACCATGTTTTCCACCGCAAACCACAGCATGTCTCTTTAAGTACAGAGGCATTTTTGCCACTTTTAGTAGAGATCTCAAATGCAGCCAGAAAAGTCATGGAAAGGTTCCCAGCCTGTCGCAAGGGGCCCTGCTTCGTCCCAGCAGTTGATCCTAGCTGTCTCAGCCACTTGGTCATCGCCGGGTCACACAGTGCACGACCCCCGCAACGTGAAGGAGGCAGGGTTTATTTTGGCTGCATTTCAGTCCAAGGTTGACTGGGTCCAATGCAGACAGCATGGTGAAAGGACCCGGGCAGAGGAAAGCTTCTCATAGTGTGGGGACAACCAGAAAGTAGAGAGAGAAGGGAGGAGCCGGGAGTGCACGGTGGACCCTTGCAGGCCACACCACCAATGCGTCCCCGCCTAATAGCACTCTCAGCAGATGGAATTTAGTGCCACCACTGTCTAATCACAGTCAGAACACACAAGGTTTTGGGGGAACAGTCCAGGTCCAAACCATAATACTAGATTTTTTTCTTTTTTTATGTATTCAATACAGGGTCTCAGTGTGCAGCTAAGACTTGTAGTGATCATCCTGTTTTCAGCCTCCCCAGCCCTGGGATTACAGGGGTGCTCCACCATGCCCAGACTTGGTGTGAGTGCAGCCCGCCCAGGGGCAGGGCTGGCGTAGCATGTGGTGCCTGGGGATTGAAACCCAGTCCCTGTGCTTGTCTAAGCAGGCGTTTAGTCTGCTGAGCTATCTCGCTGGCCCAAGACTAGATTTCTTTCTTAGCTTCTGCCATTCCTGTGTGCTGAAGGAAGCGGGGCTTCTGAGTCTCTCCTCAGATGACCCCTGAGACTGAACTGCCCCAGACCTGCGCAAGTCAGGAGAGTGAGAGAGTCAGAGCATTGATCGTCATCAAATGCGAGGCCTGCCGGTCCGCCATGTCTGGTGCCCAGCTCCCTGCCCCATTCTACTGTACAGTTGGAGTTTTGAGGTCTCATGATCCTGCCTAGCTACTAGAGTCTTTTTATTTATTTTTTTTATGTATTTAGTGCAGGGTCTACAGGGTCTCACTACATAGATCTGACTCGTAGTGCTCCTCCTGTTTTTCCAGCCTCCCAGGTGCTGAGATTACAGAGATGCACTACCACGCCCAGTCTCAATTGCCTTTTCAGCACGCCCCAAGAGTGGGGCCAGCACTGCATGCTGGGGGTGAACCCCGGTCCATGTATCTGCCTAAGCAGGAGCTTTGATACACTGAACTATCTGGCCAGCCCAGCTAATGGAATCTTAATCCATTGCTGAAAATTCCTTAGCATGAAGTTGTAAAAGCATTTTTATTCTTGATTTCTTTGTAGTTTTGTTTTGCTTTTTTTTTTTTTTTTTTTTTCAGTATTAGATATTCAACCTTATCAATGAGCTATGGCCTCAGCCCTTTTTTCAATTTTTATTTCATGGTAGGATCTTAGTAGATCACTGAGTTGCCCAGGCAGGGCTCCAACTTGCCGTCTTCCTGGTTTCCCAGAGTGCTGAGATTCCAGGTGTGCACCACTGTGCCTGGCTGGGGCTCAGTCTTTTCTTAATGGTAATCCCAGGATCCTTCACACCTTTATTACTCTGTACCCTGGGGAGAAGGCCTGAGTTTGGGACACAAAGCTTTCACTTCCCCTGGAAAGGGAACTGGCAGAGAAGGTGCAGGCAGAAAAATGCTATGTTTCTTAGTTCTAAAATGCATGACTTTTTCCCCCATCTTGTAACATCTTTGAAAAATGGATGCATAGTTTACTTATGATTGGCCATATGGTTTAAGCCTCCTAACGATGTATAAAATCAGGGAGCACTGATGTGTTCTAACCAACGTAGGCATAACGCGTGGGAGCCTACAGGGAAGTCAGATCTCCCCAAGGCAACCAGGGGAGGTTTCTCCGGGGAGGCAGCAGATGGGCCTTCCAATGCCTGCTATTAACTCGGATTCTGACAAGCAAAATATGCCGCCCACTTGTTCGTTCATTCTGCAAACATGCTTACAACAAATCTCTAGTGTGTGCTTGTTGCCTGCTGAACAAAATCATCCCACGGGTAGCAGGGAACATAGACGTAAGCCCACACTCACAAGACCGCGTGTATTTTTAACTACAGGCTAGCGAAGCTTGCCAGAGAGATGGTGAACATGCGGGAACTGGCCCAGGCCAGAGGTGTCCTGAAGGCCTTAGCTGAGTGCTCCTAAGACAGATGTATGAAAACCAGCTTAGCTAGGAGGGAAGGGCATGCCAGGGAGAGGGGAAAAGGATGCCCAGGGGCTTGGGTTGGGAAGGACCACAGGGTGTGGAGGAAGTCAAAGCAGATACAATGAATCCCAAAGAGTGGGGAGGGGAATGCAAGAAGATGGGAGAAGGGGGCAGGACCCCGGACAAGGGGTCTCAGGAGATCCAGCATCACTTAGGCACCCTTGCTGCGCCGGGAACCTAACTGAGCACCTGCTCCCCCTTGCAGGCCCACCTCGTGGCAGCCTTTGAGCAGAGTCTTGGAAACATGACCATCAGGCTCCAGAGTCTGACCATGACGGCCGAGCAGAAGGTAAGGCCTTGGCTCCCCACTTGGAGTGCACAGCAAACCGAAACATATGAGGCCCTTTACCTTCAGACAAGTACGTAGACTCCAACTTACTTCTTGGGCCCGTGAATATAACTGCCCAGAGTGGAGCTGTTGAGTAATGACTGTGTGACAGTAAAGGCAGCAAGGGCCAGCCTTGTGGTCCCATTCTTCTCCTGCTGTGTTACTACTATAGGCTGTCACGCTGAAGCATGGCCCACTTTGGTCCAACCTCATTCAGGACATGAAGGTCCTATTGAGCTCCTTCCTCCTTAAGTTGTCCTTCCCTGGAGGTCACTACAGCTCTACACAAAATGCATCTGGGTGGACCAATATGTCTTTTTCATCCATAGGATTCAGAGCTGAACGAGTTAAGAAAGACCATCGAGCTGCTAAAGAAGCAGAACGCAGCTGCCCAGGCTGCCATTAATGGAGTGATTAACACCCCTGAGCTCAACTGCAAAGGTAAAGTAGGAAACGGGCTTCAGCCAGAGCACCGGGTGCTCTTGGCGGCGCATGAGGCAACCTCCCCGCCTGAGAGCCGGCAGGCGTAGGGCAGGTCCCGTCAGCGCGCACCTCGCCTGGTCTCTGGCAGGCCTCCATGGAGATGGCTACTCATCCTCATAGTGCCGTCTCAGAGAAAGAAAGCATGCCTCTCTTGGTAGAGCGTCAAGCTGTATGAACTCCCTCTGGGCTTCTGTATTTACATACTGACATGGGAGACATGGAAGTGGGTTCATCGGGACTCTTATTTGGCCTGGAACACTTGTCTGAATTAGTTGTTTTGTCTGTCGTTGGGCTTAAAAATAACTCAGACATGCGAGTGAGTTACCTCCTGTGCCGACAGTATGAGCCGTAGAAAACAGACTGAATGTCCACTGCCAGTCGCCAGCACTGTGGGACCCCTGTGCTCTAAGCACCAGGCTGGTTTTGTTATTATTTAATTCATAATCTTACTTGCCTTCCACAACAACCAGATGTGTGTCACTCTAGTTTTGTCCTCATTGTACTGGGGAGAGCCCAGAGCTTCAGGGAAGATAGTTGCCTCCTGAGGTCAGAGAGGAGGCAGACACCTCATGGGCTAGTCCCTGCGTGCACCTGGCTCTGAAGCCAGTGATCTTGGGATGCGGCTCTGGGTACAGCCCCAGCCTCAGCAGGAAGACGCAAGAGCGCTAGTTCAAGAGCCGCTGTTATTTTCAGTGTCCCTGGGCTTCAGTGTACTGGGCCTCCTAAGCAAAGGAAGGGCAGAATGGAGACAGGAAGGACTGGCAAGAGCTGGCCAGACAGAGAAGGGGAAGAGACGTGCAAGTGGGGGCGGCAGCATGTGGAAGGCCCGGCTGAGGTGGGCTGGCTGCTTGCAGGAGGCAGCTGTGGCCAGGAGCAGGACAGCAGAGCAGTGGGCCTGGGCTGCAGCTCAGGGGCAGCGTACTTGTTCACAGGCATGAGGCCCTGGCTTGCATTCCAGCACTGTGAAAGACAGAAGAGAGCAAAGGAGCAGGTAGATGGGGCGAGCAACAAAGATGGTTGCTCTTTCAGTTCAGTCACATTGTCCTTCCTGGGTATAGTTTAAAGGATTAGAGTTGGGGACATTGTCTCCTAAGCCTCCCTGCACTTCTTCTTGGCAAAGTAGGAAGAGGTAGATGCATTTAAGTGGCCAAAGAGGACATAGCACCCATCTACCTCGAGTCCTGTACACCAGCAGGGGGTGTCAGAGGTGATAGATGTCTCTGTGGAAAACAGCTGGGGGTCCCCAGATGTGTGGGTTGCATTTCCAGGGCCAATCCCCAAAAGAAGGGACTGGGCCCACATCAGCAGGTGGTGACCCACCCTGCCTCACTCCCAGGAAACGGCTCCTCGCAGGCCACAGACCTCCGCATCCGCAGGCAGCACTCTTCCGACAGTGTCTCCAGCATCAACAGTGCCACCAGCCACTCCAGCGTGGGCAGCAACATTGAGAGTGACTCCAAGAAAAAGAAGAGGAAGAACTGGGTGAGCATGTACTCTCCAAGGGTACTGGTGAGAGAGTGTGCTGCAGGACCGGTGTCCCCCAGACAGAGCCCAGGTTGCCTCTTCCCTCACCTCAGAGCCACAGAGCTTTAGAAGCAGATCCTCAGAGATGGTTACTGAAAGGTTTTTAGGAAAACCAATGTTGTACTCAGCAAAACATGAGGAAAGATGAAACCACCACACTGTAGTTTTTCCCTTTCATGAGACTTAATGTGATACGCTCATCTTTCATTTCATATATGTGTTATTTCTTCCTCATCTGTGCTGGCTGCAGAGTCCTAGAACAACTTGATTCTTAAGTGGCCTCTTTTTACTCACTTCCAAAAGTGGATTTTGAACATGAATCAGTAATTATCCTACTCTCTACTACCATCTTTAATTTTTTATCTACCTGCCTAAGGTAGCATCAAACCAAGCTTTTGGGGAAAATTTTTAACCAGGTTCTCTAAATGAAAGTTTCCTAATGCCAACATTATGAGCTGGAGCTGGCACTAACCTTGGGATTCTACCTCCACATGGAGAGCTTCATAGAATTCATCTCTGTGGGAGTGTTTCTCCCCGTGTCCTTAATCCCAGAGAGCTGCATACTTTTCTGTATGGCAGCTTTAAACAGTTTCACCCATTATCCTAGGAAAATTCCACTACCGGCCAGTTGTTGATCTCACTGTGGGGGCTTTGGAGCACTTCCTGGTGCTGCTGTTACGGGCACCCCAAGACATCTGAAGCTAGCCAGTGCCCAAAGAACCCACTCTGTCAATGCCGGCAGCACTGTGTTCTCACTGTGGCTTCAGTGTCCCATTCATTCCATACCCCACTCACTCATTCTGTGCTGTCTTGGATGGGTGGCGAGGTCAAGTGATAGAGGAATTGGGAGTCGAGTGATCTTGATTATTGATCATTGGCCTTGGAGGCAAATTAACAGGCCAGCTCAGTGTGACCCCCTCATCATTCTGATTGATAGTTTTTTTTTAAGTTACTAATGAATAGCTTTTAGTCAACTCAACTGAGATGGCTAGATAGGATTAACCCATGCTGCCCTCTACTATGTGGTGAATAAATAGTCTGATTTGAATTTTGAGCTGATGAGAGAAAATTATTTTCTATGAAAAGTCTCAGTCATCTCTTCTCTTCCAGTCAAGCAATAAAACTTGTTTATGTTACATCCAGGCTCTTGGTTATCAGTGAAATCAGGGAGTGTGGGTGATTTTGGCCTTCTCAGCTTTTCCTGAAGCTTAATTCTGCCTAATCTTCATAATCTCCTCTTCTACCTGGCTTTTCACCAGAGGTCGGGGCAAGGATTGAGTTTGCTGGCTTGTGTGCCAGACCCTTCCGTTTCTATGACTACTCTCCGGCAATGCGGTCAGAAGAAGAAAATGAGAGAGTGGTAGGGTCTAGATTTTCCCGCAAGCTGGACATGCAGTTAGAGATGAAACCCACTGGTGGAGAAAAGTCTCAGTGATTTGGCAAATGGCCCATTTTCTGAATTTCTCACCAGTAAAGAAAAATCCCTAAAATATATTTTTCAGAAGGAAAATAGACTTTAGATAAAGGAAATTAATTGTTTTTAAAAGACCTTTTTTTTAAGACAAGATATTATCTTTTTGGCTTAGAAAAATACATGCTCATGGCTTTCACAGAATTCTTTGGAACGGGGGGATTTCTTCCCTTTTCCTTCTTTTAAGAGAGAGGCTTACTCAGTTGCTGGGGCTAGCCTGGAATGTACCCATCCTCCTGCCTCAGCCTCCCAAGTAGCTGGCATTATAGCATGCTTCATACGCGTGGCAGAGAATTGCATTTAATTCATCATATCCTTGTTAGAACTTTGAGGTCTATCTCCTTGTTTGAGGAAATTATACCAGCTTCTTCTTTTTTTTTTTGTTTTTTGAAGTGGGAACTGAACTCAGGACTTGGTGTTTGCCAGGCAGTTGCTTGTACCATTGAACTATATCCCCAGCCCCCGTTTTTCTAATGTGGCTACAAATATGTATGTCTTAACTGACTGTCCAACGTTGCTGACTGAGATGGCTGATTCCCCGCTTACCAGGTTACCTTCCCTATCCAAGTAGAGATGGCGAGGGGCTGTACAACCCTTTGGGAGCAGCACAGCCACGAGGCTGCCATTGTGCAGAAGAGACCCCAAGCTCCCACTCCTGCTCCAAACTCAAGCACCAAGAGCTGACAGATAAGTGGCAGGGACAGGCAGAGAAGCTCAAAAGGTAGGGGCAGCTTCTTCAGTGAGGCAGGGAGGACCCAAGTCATAGGGCCCCCAGGGCCTGCCTTTGCTGTCCTCTCGGGACTGAGGGAGGCGCCCCGTGCTGGTAAAGATTTGGGTGCGCCCTGGAGAGCTCCTCTTGGCCTGGTGTTTATTAGCCATGTTGCGTCCAAAAAAATCCAAAGCTTTCCCAGTCACTGGCTTTCTCTGTTAAAAATTGTCTTTTTTCCTTCCCCTTCCCCGTTTTTGCTTGCATTGTCTCTGGCAGGTCAATGAGGTAAGCGAGACAAACTTCCCTATCAGATACCAAGCTAACCCATCCACTGATATGACTAACCTCGTCCTGGCACTGTCACCCGTCTGTGCATCCCGCTTTGTTGCTGTGTGCCCTCATCCTCCCGACACCCACCTGCTGGGCCAGGCTCTGTCTTGCTGTTGGCACCTAGTACTGCCCCCAGAGTAGGCATGGAATGTCACCCACAGGTCCAGTCCTTCGAGCTGTCAGCACCGGATAACTCTTCTTCCCTTAATGCACTGATTCCACAGAGCTGTGAGCTCCTGTTGCATTGCTGGGGGGAGTCGGGAGAATTACTAGCTCTTTTCTATGCATGTCTCTGGTTAGCCAAGGCCTAGGCGCTGGGGCAGCTCCTGTGAGGCTAATGATCTCGTCGTATATTCAGTTGCGCAGCTCCTTCAAGCAAGCTTTTGGGAAGAAGAAGTCCCCGAAGTCGGCATCCTCTCATTCGGACATCGAGGAGATGACGGATTCTTCTTTGCCTTCTTCACCAAAGTTACCACACAACGGGTCCACGGGGTCCACGGGGTCCACACCTCTGCTGAGGAACTCATACTCCAACTCTCTGTAAGTCTGTCCACTGGGGCCACCCTGTCTGTCACATGATGTCTGTAGCACCTCTCTGAAGCCTCTGCAGACACAGCGGCTGGGGGTCCTGTTACAACCCATGGACTGCTTGGACCTTTTGTATTTTACTTTAATGGGACTTTCCTTGGTTTTTCCATGTTTTAGGAATGGGAAGGTTGCGTGACAAAGGAAACTCAGGTGTAGCTGATGGTGTATCATTGGTGCCTGGGGCTAGTAGCTGGCCTTAAAGTGACTTAGCTTTGCATTGCTTGCCGCGTCAAAGGATGGTTGTTGTTAAAGAGCCAGACCATTTACCGTGAGGGGAGCTGGTGTAAGGAGTGTTTGCAGTTTTTGATGAAATTCTGGCTCATTTGGGTGACAAGACTCAGATTATACTTTTCTTCTTTGTTCAAAATTTGTTAAGTCTTTACTGTCACAAATTGGATCTTTAAAAGCTGGAGAGATTTAGTGACTGTCCTCTTTACCAAAGGAGTGTGTATTTTGTAAAATGATTCATTCTAGTGAACTTACTATGAGACAGACGCTTATACATCTTTCTGTGGGGATACAAGGTATTTGGGCGCTGTCCCCTGGGCTATAGTGACATGGAGAAGAGCCACCAAGTTGGAATGGCTTGGTGTGGGTGGGTGGAGTCCCTGGTATTCATTCAAAAGGTAGCACAACTGGCTCCCTGCGGCAGACAGAAAGGCTACCTCTGACCTGTAGGGCTGAATTCCATGCTGGGCTGGAATTAGAATCCACGATGAACTGGGTTATATATAGCCTGCAAGGAAGGCGACAAGCCAGAGAAGAGAGGAGCTGGGCTGGGGTCAGAGTAGCACCTGGGAGAGGGTTAGAAAGCGGAGATTGGTGTTATGGATCCCAGTTGCCTTGTGGGTTAACGTGGAGGTGACAGCACGTGCTTCACTGATTGCTTGAGAGAGGCGAGTGAGATTGTGTGACTAAGGGCCTCCATCCCAGGCCATCTTTCTTTCTTCTCAGGAGGCTTAGAGGTCCGTAGTGCTGTCCCTGTGTCTGCTCACCCAGCCAGCCCCTGAGGGCAGCAGCTTGCACTGATGCCTGAGGTACCTCCTCAGTGGGTGCCAGAAGTATATGGAAGATGGGACCGTCCAGGGGCCAAGTCTCTGTCACACACCAACTGCACAGAAGATGTGGAGTGGGAGAGTGGAAACCATCCCTCACCACACCATGGTGCAGGATGGTCCCCTGGGGTCACCACTGAATATAGAGAGCTCCTATGCCATTAGGGTGCTCTGTAACAAGAGGATGGACACACGGACGTGCACTTCTGCTATGGGAGGGGGTAATGTCCTCATGGAAAGAGAAAGGCAAAGGAACTCTGAAGGCAGGGCCCCAGTCTGCCTTGTGAATTCTTGAGTGATGGGCCAGAGTGAATAGTGGAGAACATGGATCCTCCTTGGTCAACCAGGTGCCCAGCAAGTAAACAAGTCAGATTTACGTAGGCCGTCCTCCAACCAGGCATCCCGATTTATTCATTCCCTTACAAGAAGAAGTAACCAATCACCTACTCTTGATATGTTCATTTGAGCTCTGTGTCGTGTAGCCAGCAGAGCAGGCACCGTGTGCCTGGTGTCCTGCAGAGTGTGAGGATAGCGTTAGCGTTGGGGACAGCAGGGACCACTGGGAATGTGACACAGCACTTCTCACTGTGCTCCTGAGCCTCCACTCAGTGTGATGCACCTTTCCTAGCTCTGTTCCAGCAGCATCGAGGACCAATGCAGCTCCATCTCTGGTTGACGCTATGTGCTGTGAGTTATGGGTGGATGTTAAATGCAGCATCCTAAATGAACTAGTCAAGTCAGGTAGCACGGAGGGTTAATACTGTGAGTGAAAACAGAGCTGGGATACAAAGTACTTGGCAGCAACTTGAGATGCTGTGGTCAGGAAAGGCCCCTCTGTAAGGGTGTCGTGTCAGCCCAGACCTGTGTATGGAACAGTTGCCACTTAGCTCTGGTCAGTAACACTAACTGCAGCAACGAACTCCATCACAAGCTTGGTGACTTTACTTAGCACTGTTTATTTCTGGCCTGCTCCAAACCCAGTGTGGCTCTCCTCATCAGCAGATGGCTGCCCTGAACAGGTACTCTGCAGGATGCTCTGTTTCCACCCAGGGCAGAAGCTGGTAGGACGCGGGGGAGACCTGTAGGAAGGCTTTGCAGGCTGGCCTTGCAAGACGTGCCTCTGGCTTCTTCCCAGTTGGGCTCGGGTGGCCTCCCAAACACGGCGAGGAAGCAAGAGTGGAAACCAAGCAGATTTGTCTGAGAAAGAGGGGTGGCCAGCCTAGCTGTCACTGAGTACTTAAGGGACAGAGTGGTAGGAGGAGAGGGGAAGTGGCTCCTGAGTAGATGTGTAGAGGTGGCCAGGGGCGAGGCTTGGGCAGAGAGAGGAGACCATCTGGACAAGTTCTGTGGACAGGAGCATAAGGAGCAAGAGGAAGGGGGTCACCGGACTCAGCAGCCCCCTCCCTGGCTCGTGCCATTCTGGCTTCAAGCTGTTCTTTAAACACCCCACTCCCACCTCACAGCCTCTGCCCTCGTCATGCCCAATCTGATAGGCCGCCCCTCTGGACGGTCACATTGTCAGGTCAGTAAACCCATCCCTCTCCCTCTCGCTTCATATTTTACCATTGTACTTATACCCATATGATGTATATGTGACTTTTTTTTTTTTTGCGGAACCGGGGATTGAACTCAGGCTCTTGTGCTTGCCTGGGAAGCACTTATTCTACTGAGCCATCTCCCCAGCCCCAAATTGTGTTTGTGACTTTTTTTTCCATCTGATGTATAGATTCTCCTTAGAATTTTGTCCCCTGTCCCTCACCATACCCCCCAAAGTGCCGTGGAGGTGGGTACCATATTGGATTCGAAGGCACTCAACTAATTGGTGGTGGGAGTGAATGATGGTACTGGTGAGCCCTTGAAGAGTTTAGTTCTAGAAGAAAAGCCAAGGGCATATGGGGTAGAGCAGACATCAGAACGGGGAAAGAAGAATCTTAGATGTTCCTGGATCTGCAGCTTGGGCGACTGGGCTGGGTGGGAGACCTGGCTGGGAGAGTCTCAGAATCAGACGCTCTGGCTTGGACCCCATAAGATCAAGATGCTTGGCAGATCCTCTTTGTAGGAGCCAGCCTGCCTAGGGTCTTGGGAGGCAGCATTGGAGTGACGTGGAATCCTGGGTGGTACTGAAAGTGGGGAAACAGGAGTTCTCCAAGGGGCTAGAGATAAGGAAGAGGACAGTGGCAAGTGCTGAGCTCTGTGGCATGCTGACATGTGAAGCTGCAGAAGAGGAAGAAGAGCAGCTGGCAAGGTGAGAGGACGTCCAAGAGGAGAGCAAAGAATCTCCTCAGAGGACAGACTAGAAGGTTGGCCACACAACCCGGGTGGCCAGGTCAGAGGAGAGGAGAGCGGTGGGGCTGCATGCTGCTGTGTGGGCCCCTCCGCGAGGACAGGATGCTCCTCCCAAACCACTTTCCCCATAGGGACAGGGCAGGGCAGGCTCTTGGCTCCCGAGCCCTTTTCTGACATTCCTTGGTCTCCTTGGACACTGGAGTTGTTTGTTTTTGGTTAAGTTTTCCAAAGGGTGGGCTGAGAGCAAGTGCTCCTTTCCAACCTTGAAAGGTTTGTAAGAATGTACAAATCTAGATGGGAGAGGGAGTTCAAAAGAAGGAACCAGAGGCAGAGGAGCTGGGCTGGGAGAATTCTCTACCCCGTGGGCGAGAGGAATGGCCTCTGCGGGAAGGCGATGTTTCCCACACTGGAGGCGTTTGGAATTAGGTATGCCACCAGCCCTGCCCCTGGACAGGATGATGGGAACGTGCTGGAATAGTAGGTCAGGGTCAGGAGCACATACTTGCCCCAGTCAGTGGTCGGTCCACAGCATGGACCAGTGTGTACTTAGTGCCAACTGGGTACCGTGCAGGAGCTAAGCAGGACCTTCCTAAATGGATCCCAACCTTGTCACACTTGAATGGTATGACTTGGGCATGTTAGTATCTCTGCCTCAGGCTCCCCATGTTAGAAGTGGGGAGAATTATATTTTGTAGAGTTGGTGGTATGCAAAGTGAAGAGAGGAGCATGCTTCTTATGCCTAGTCCAGTCGATGCACTGCGCAAGCATTGGTGAGCACCTACTATGTATCGCATAGTAAGACAGATGCTAGAAAAGACCCAAGAAAACCCTGGAGCCCCCAAGAAGGTAACCTGGAAGGACAGTGAAACTCTTGGTGTTGGAACATAAGCCTATGAGCAGAAGAAACCAAGCAAGGGAAAACGAACGCTTTATCTTAGACAGTAGGGACAGGGACAAGAAACCAGTTCTGACTGCCGCCAGAGAACTGGTGTCTGTGGCCTCTCTGTGCTGCGTCGCATCCCTCGCTGGCAGCGAGTTGTGGAAGACTTTCAATCCCAGCACAAGTTGTCTTCATTTTAGTTTGTGTCTCTTTCGTCTTAGGGTATTTTCTGTTGCTGTAATGAAGAGCTACAGACCAGTGCTGTATAAAGCCTAGACGTTTATGTGGCCCGTGGCACTGTTTTGAAGGCCTTGCTGCTAGGTGGTGGTGAGGTGGAGAGCATCCTGTGATGAGCCGGAGTGAGCCTGCTCACTTGATCTTTCTAAGGCCCAGATTCAGGCCCTGGGCCTCACTCCCAGGGAGTTCATGTCATGCTCATTACCCGTGAGAGCACCCCTCCAGCTATCACCTGTGGCTTTGGGGATGGATATTCGCTAAGTTTTGAGGTGGACAGACACTGAAGCCCTAGCCTCTGGACAGTCATCGACTGGCCACGTTCTGCAGAGTAATTCATGTGAAACAATCCACAGATGTGTACTGAGGGAATGTTGGGGGGTGGGCACCAGCTGGGTGACCCGGACTCCAGCAGAGTGGCTTATGTGGAGTGTGAGGTGGACCAGCCTGGCACCCCAAGGACTCCAGCAGACTGTCCTGTACTGTGGAGTGGGTTCCTCCCTCTGGGCAGGGCATGGCTTGGCTCAGAATGGAGTGTCACGGTGGAGTTCGGTTCATAAGTTCTGCTCCATTGAAACCAGGAAGCTATCACGCTCACAGGAAAGAACCAGTTTTTACAGCCCCACTCCCACCCCTGCACACCTCTCAAACACAAGAAAACAGGGCTGTGTAAATCAAACTTGCCAACTCCAGACTATTCAGAGTGCAAAAAGCTGGGGTTGGCGGTTGGGATGATCTACATTCCAAAGGCATTTCTACATCTCTGGCCCTTTTAGTCTGAAACCTGTTGGCTTCCATTTCTCATGGGTATGAAATAGGAATAACAACATCTTCTGGAGGACCTTGCCTTTTTCAAGAAGACATTGAAGGTGAAACACTTCCTAGGTTGGTGTTGTCTTATAAAACTAAGATGTGGCTTTACTCTTAAATCCAAACAGATCATATATGGGTCAAGAAAGCCACACTAGAAAGGTTTGCCTATTCAAGGCAAAATGTCTTTCCACCCCCAAGATACAATTATATTTCTTTTAATAGTTTTATAAATCGTTTCTCTTTAGCAATTAAAGTGCCTACCCCCTCGCCTAGTCAAGTTTTGTTTGGCTCCCAACCCAGTGCTTTGGTCTTGGAGAGCAGATGCAAGAGGTCTTGCTGCGGTTACTACAAACTCCCACCGCCCTCAGGCCTCATCAGTAACTTTATGAACTTGGGGTTTTGGGGTTTTGGGATTGTTTGTTTTCCCCCATCTTCAGTTCAGTAAGCGTCAAGCTTTTCTATTCTGGATCACCAAATACCCCAGATACTATGATCTTTTGAATCTGCAGCACTGTTTTGTTTTATTTTGTTTATGCTGACTATACATTTTAATTATAAAACAAGAACATGAACAAAACATTTAAAATAATCTCAGTTATTTGGCAACTCATCATGTCATTGCAAAGAGACAAATTTGACCTTAAGAAAAGTTTTAATTTTATGAAAACTTAAGTTGGACCATTTGTTAAAAAAGAATCCAAGGGGCGAGGGGAACAACTTCTATCTTGAAATAGTTGTGTGTAAAATCCTGAAGCCAAGTAGGTAGGAATGACTTAATCATCAGTGCACTTCCCTTTGCTGAGAGAGATGCCATGGGGAGAAACTTCTGGAAGCTTCCGAGAGCACAGAGGGAATGAAAGCCGGCAAAGGGTCCCGCTGTGGGAGGTGGAGCCACTGTGCCTGGACCAGCCTCTCTAGTGTCACGTGGTAAGGGCACACATGCAAATATAATTTAAAAGCAAGTTACATTCTTCAAAAACAGTCCCTACCATAAACAGAAAAGCAATGGAGACCCTTTCTTTAGCTAAACTACTTTACTCAGATATGTGCGAGAGTTGCTGTATTTCCTGTCAAATCCTAGGCAGATAATTATAGGCAAGTAGAGTCCTACCAAACTTTCTGTGAATGATTGCGTAGCATATAAAACCTTTTTTTATTAAAAATAAAATAGTAAAGTTCACAGATTTTTTTTTCTGTAAATTAAAGTTTTCATTGACTAGTATCATATGGGTAATATGTAATCTATTTTTAAATGTTTATATACCATCCACAGATCACTGGTCATAGCCTAGTGTCTGATGGGTCAGAAGGTCTGCCTTAGTGATGACTCATGTTTTAACAGAGGAGCTGTCCTTTGGGACATCACATTTCATTGTAACTTTTGGGATCTTCCATTTCGCACTGACCTGCCAGTCATCTAGAGAGAACCCAGACTCATCAGGAAAGGCGCTCAGCCCAGCCTGTTAGGAAGGAGCTGCTTGGCATGGTCCCCTGGTCACCTCGACCCCATGCACAACTGCACAGGAAAGACAAGTGGCCAGGCTGTACAGGGATTACAGATGAAACTTCAGCTTCCATTTCACATTGTCCTCAGCTTTCTAAGCCCTGAGAATGTTTCTCTTTGGCATAGTGCCTGCCTGGCAAGCATGAGGTCCTGAGTTTGATTCCTGGTACCAAAAAGAAAAAAGAAACAGATCAATTTCATTCTATATCTTTGATTTTCTTTCCTTTTGGGCTCAGTACAAATCATCCCTGAGCTGTTTAACCTTGGAGTTTCTCATTTTGAAAACAGAGCTGACCTTGGTTCTTTGAATGAGTTTAGAACTCAGGGGCCACATGGTGTCCTTATCGGGGCCCAGCAGTGCTACACACAAGGAGGTGTTCAAACCCCGAAAGTCCCGCTCCCATTTGCGGTCTCCTGCTTCTCTCTTGATGACTGGAATTCTGCAGAAAGGCACAGGACAGCCATTCCAATTGCTGAATCTTCAAAGGAAGAGTGCACCCTGATCAGGATGGGACGGAAAGGCGATGACTCCCAAGATGCTGTTGGCACTGACGTTTCCTTTCCCTAGAATCTCAGAGTGCATGGATAGTGAGGCTGAGACCGTCATGCAGCTCCGGAATGAGCTGAGAGACAAGGAGATGAAGCTGACGGACATCCGCCTGGAAGCCCTCAGCTCCGCCCACCAGCTGGACCAGCTCCGGGAGGCCATGAACAGGATGCAGGTGAGAGCCTGGGACAGGGCGGGAGCCAGGCCTGCCTTGGAGTCTGGGGCCACCCCCTGCATTCTCAGTGTCTTTCTTTTTCAGTTATGTCTACACAGTCCTCTGAGTAGTCCAGTGAAAGTACAAGAGTAGTCCTGCCCCTCCTGCCTGGAGCATGGTCCCCTTCGCTGGCCTGCAAGCCTGCTGCTGCAGGGCCCTTTTCCCTCCTCATGCACCCCACCCTCCCCTTTGCCACTTCCTTCACTCTGCTTAGGCCAGATGTAGCCACAGACTGCAGCTCCCTCTACAGGCCATGGGTACCTCTGTCCCAGACCTTTCCCCAAAGCCCAGCCTGATCCTTCTGCTTGTGCAGGGCTTGTGCAGGGCCTGCAGCTGGAAATCATTCCCTCCCTCAAACAGGATTGCAGGTTTATTGTTACAGGCTTTCCCTCATCTGTCCTGGGGAAGACATCCAGGTCTTCTGAGATCCTTGTCTTCTCTCTGGACATTCTACCTCCTCTGTGTACACTTAAGTTCTTTACAAACGTTCACAGAATGAAGGACTCCCATGAGGTGTGCTAACTAGACAGCAGTGTTTCTCAAAGGTGGATCCATGGAATACTCTTTCCATGTGAGGATCTGTGACAGCAGAGTTCCTTCATTAGGTGCATTTGGGAAATATGTATCCTCTTAGATTCACAAAGCAGAGAAAATCATGAAAGGCTCTGAGAAGCCCTGCGGTACAGAACCTGGCACATCCAGACTCCGGGAAAGCTACGCTTGTCAGAGCCACTATGCAAAGGCCAGGTCCCTGGAAGGATGGAGCCTGGCATATCTGTGTATTCAGCAAAAGCAGAGTCTCTCTGTGCATGTCTCTTGCCTCAGCTGGGCGAGCCACGCGGTTCCTGCAGGGAATTTTACATACTCCTTTTTCTTATTGCATTCAACTACTAAGTGAGCTTCTGCCTCTACTCCTTGCAGAGTGAAATAGAGAAGCTGAAAGCTGAGAATGACCGGCTGAAGTCAGAGTCTCAGGGCAGTGGCTGCAGCCGGGCGCCCTCCCAGGTGTCCATCTCCGCATCCCCCCGGCAGTCGCTGGGCCTCTCCCAGCCCAGCCTAAACCTTACCGAGTCGACCAGCCTGGGTGAGTGGCTCACAGGGCTGGGGCAGGCTGGGCCCTGCAGCTGGCACTCTGGTCTCGGGGCCGGAGCCCAGGAGAAGCAGATCAGCAAGTGACACAGAGGCAGCAGGCGTGTGTGCGCTGGCGTGTGTGTGTGTCTGGGTGTGCGTCTGCTACCAACATGAGCCCAGCCGTGAGAGCCCTCTCATGCTTTGCTCCAGCGCCCCCAGTTCCCCAGGCGTGAGCTTGGAGACCCCTGTCCCCCATGCTGAGCTCTGTTCGATCCATTTAAGAGGCTGACCTGCTAGCGGAATGCTGCATACACCCATGGAGCAGGCTCCCGTCAGGCCTTGGCCTGGCCAGTGACCCTCCTGGCTTCGGGTCAGATTCCATCATCAGTGCCCACGACCTGGGTTTGCTTCATGAGCACCTCCAGGCTGATGCTTTCCTTTTTTATCCATGACGCTGCTGTTGCTATTCCTGTTTCGGTTGAGCCTCCCTCACACATCCATTCAGCAAGACGCATCGTCAGCCCGCTGGCTCCCTGGTCGGTCCGCTGTGGATCTCTGTGGTCATCCTCCATTCTGCCCTCCCTCCCCTGCCCACCCCCTGCACCTGACACCTGGCACACCCCGCCGCCGGGCCCACTGGCAGCGGGGCCATCAGGAAGCCGGCTTTGCTGTCCCCATGTGCCTAAGGCTGTTGATGTTTTCCATTCGCAGACATGTTGCTGGATGGCACTGGTGAATGCGCGGCTCGGAAGGAAGGAGGCAGGCATGTTAAGATAGTTGTCAGCTTTCAGGAGGAAATGAAGTGGAAGGAGGTTAGTCCATCCCTCGCCCCGCTCTGCCTGCCCTCCCCAGGTAGCAACACCTAGCTTAGCTGCTCCGCCTCACTGCCTGAGGTGACCTGGAAGTACTCCTGAGGCTGAAATACTTCATCGTCTGAGACACAGTTCCAGGCTCCCAGTAGATTCCTAAATCCAAGGGTAGTACCAAATGCTGCGTGTACGGTGTTCTTTCCTCTATAACATGTAATGTATGGATATGAAACTTGAAGAGATGAGCAGTAACTAATAACAAAACAGAGCAAGGATGACATCATACTGGGTTGTCCGTGGCTTACTAAAACACAGAGAAATCCTGACTCACTGGAGACCGTGGCAATGGTCAGCTTGCTGGCCATCTGGCAGTTGATGTGAATGGGTGGCACTTCCTTTCTTCTCATGTTGAAAGTCTCATCAAGCACGCTAAATCCACGTGGCACTTTCCTGTAATGAGCCCGACACTAACATCCTTCGAGAAGGCTTTTCTGAGTGTATCACATTCCCCAAGCACATCCAAGGCAGCTTAAGTGCTTTTAGCTCCAAAGACATAGAAATAAATTGGCTGAGCCCAGCTGGCCAAGAGCGCCAGGCTGTCGGCAAAGTGGCCACGGAAAGAGGCCCACAATTCAGGGGTCACGTGGGGTGCTGAGTGGAGCTGGTGGGGCACCTTGTGTTCTGAGCTGGGAACCTGCCCATGCTGAGCTCCAGAGTGGACACCTTGGCCAGAGACTTTAGGAGTGGCACTCGAGCTGTACCTTAGAGATTAAATCCTAAAGATGCTCTCAGTGACTTTGGCTTCAGAAGTAAGTGGGAACTGCCCTCGTGGGTCATGATTTCAAGTCCCCTTCGATCTCTGGTGTTTTGCTTCTTAGCATTTCTAGCCAGTATGCTAACGTAGCTCCCTCAGCGTAGGAGCCTGTGGTGCCCGAAGACGTGGCGTCTGCAGCCGGGCTTTGTTCTGTGTGGCTAGCTTGTTTGCCTTACCCTCTGCAGAGGTCCAGAACTGGGGCTTTAGTGTCCTCTAGCCTAGAAAGAGAGCCCACGTAGCTCCGGTCTCAGAACCCCAGCTAGTGGCGTGGCAGGCTGGGTGGGAGAATCCCACTCCTGCAGCCACCTGTAAACATAGGTGACACCTGGGAATAGCATCGATTCTAGAAAAACTACAAGCGCATAGAGCTTGTATTTTTCCAAAGTTTCCAACCATTTCAGTACTTCTGTCCTTCTGGATCTTAGCAGCATCCAGAGGAGATTGACCGGCCAGGGGTGATAAGCTTCGTTTTATAGCTGAGGAACTCAAGACCCAAATATCAGGGGCCTGCCCATTAGCTCAGTTG